TCTGTCCTACCAGCTAGCCCCTTCACTAGCAGGATGCGTGATACCTTTCTCTGTCGATCCCTTACCTTCCCATTACTCAGAAAAGGTACGGGAATAGAATGCAAAAGTTCTAAAAAGGTCATTAGTGTCCTTTCCTATCTCCTATGATTCATTTTTTGGCACGCTATATATTCATCCTCGATTCCTCGTCTCTCTCTCTCTCTCTCTCTCTCTCTCTCTCTCTCTCTCTCTCTCTCTCTCTCTCTCTCAGAGTGTGTGTGTGTGCGTTTCAAAAAAAGAAAAAACTCCTAGGAAGATTTCATGACTGGCCGGTCATCCGGGTGTGACGCCCGGGATACCCGGGCATGGGAAAAAAAAGATAATAATAATAAAAAATTGGTGGTGGGGTTTTTCCATGCTTTCCGAGAAGAGCCCAAATCCGGGCTCTTTTCTTTTTTTGAGAGTTGGCTGTCAAGGGGTGGAAAGGAGGGTATAAATGAATTTTAAAGGGGCTAAAGGGGTTTAAACGGGGGTGCCTTAGTGTGATTTATTATTATTTTTTTTATCTCGAGTTCCATGAGGAATTCTGATGTGACCCTCAGCCAAAAGTTGTTTGTGTTGCAATTCTACACAACATTTTTTTTTTTCCAGATTTTTTTGGAGGGGGCATTGTTTTTTTTTGGTTTTTTTTTTTGCGCTGGGGCTGCCAGGGCCATGCCCGGGGGTCATGCCGGGCCGGTCACCCGGTTGCCAAACCAGGCGTGACGTCGGGACCCGGGCGCCCGGGATATCTCCCTAGAAACTCTCTCTCTCTCTCTCTCATTCCATCCACTGTGTGTGTGTTTCTCATGCTGGCACAGTTTGTGCAGTTGGGTTCCAAACAGGCTGGACATGCTTGCGGAGACTGGGCGTGTAGATGGTGATTTGTGGCAAGCTACCATCTTCTCCTGAACATAGCGCATATGCGCTGAATTCAATTTCTTGAAAAAAAACAACGATTCGAATACAACGCATACGCCTTGTATTCGAATATACCAGCTGTTCGAATCGCAC